AAAAAACGGAAAAAAAATATTGACAGCATTCAAAAGGTGCGTTTCGAAAGAGATTTGAGAAAATTGCAAACGTGTCGTGTGTTGGAGTATGAATGTTATAGTTGCAAAGTTTGTCACTTGTCAGGTTCAATATTAAAGCGTTTAAGTTATGCATGACATGAACGTTTGTTTAATTATCAGAGAGCATTTGGCATTGGGGCACTGCACTTGATGATTCATTGGAAAAGGAGACAAGCGCCACAGAACAATATCCCTCACTCACGCACCCACTTTCCCTCTCTCTCTCTTTCTCATTCTCTTTCTCTCTTCCTCACTTTTGTTGTGGGCTTCTCTTGAAATGCGGTCTCCATCTGGTTTTACGCTAATTTTCTTATTTGTTTTGAGTGAATGCCGTTGCTAGTTTGTTCGCCATACAAAAATCAATGCTAGATGGGAAGTTTAGTGGTAAACCACAATGAATTGCATATGTGACCCAATTCGAAAATCACAGTGACAAATATTTGTTTTTCGATTTTTTTTTTCTTCTTCACTTTGATTCGAACATAAAAGTCATAAAACTTTCATGCTCTCAGCTCCTCTTTGAATAAGAGTTTGGAGCTATCGGCGAACATAAGTTCCGCGTTTGTGCGCTAAGCGACAGTAACACAATTTATCAGCAAACAGCCGAGCAGAAAAAAATTATATCTTGCTCCCGCACGCTGAACGCGATGTAGTCGCGCATAACGACGGCAAATGTGAACAAAAAAACAGAAGCAGGAACATGGAAAGCGCAGGCAAGAACACTTTTTCCACTTCAATAACACTTTTATACACTTATGGTTGATCTCGCTGCGGTTAACAAATAGTGGACTACTTCCAGTAGTCTTAATTTATCGGAGTGGAGAATGTGTTGCGAAAGAAAAATTCCACGTAAAAGCAAATGAACAAACGGACCGGATTTTTATTTTGTCTATCAATTCCACATGATGGCAATTTCATTTTACTCTTTGATTGTGACCATCTTTTTCGAATAGCATTTCGTTTTAGTTTTCGATCGGGGTTGGAAATGGTTTGGCCGACGATTGATTACAGCAAATCTCATTTCAAGTGATTTTAATCACGAGGTATGTTAGAAGAGTAGTACTCTCTGCTATCGAAATTAATCAGGTGTCCCCTGCGAAGATTATTTTTACACCAAAAGATACTTTTTAGTCTATTCACTCGGTTGCCAGTGAAAATATCGAATTTCCTGTACAAACATTAGCCTTAAGCTCCCCCACACTCGATTTGTGTTATTTCAATTTCGAGTACATAACAAATGGCCGCCTTTTTTTACCCTACTCGATGACAGCCAAAACAATACATACACCGTTCATATTTTGGTCGTTGAAAATGGCTGAAGCCAAACTTTTATCGCTTTTTCACAGTTGAATTCGTCGATATGAGACCAAAATAGACACAAATCACATATGATTAAAGGTTTACCAAATGAAAACGATTTTGCTTAGCTTTATCGATAAAGCCTTTATCCTTGCATTTCTTTGTGTTTGTTTTTCTTTTCTTGCGTTTGCCCGTGTATGCTGTCCAAGAACTTGGCACAAATGCGAATAAAATGAAACAAAATTCGACTGCAGAGCTTTAATCTTTTTATTTGTTTCCTTATGTTTTGTTGTCGGTGTAGGGCTCTTTTTTTGTCATTGTATGTCTTAAAATGTGGAACGCAGCTTATTGTATTGTCGTTCAATTGTTTGACCTTTTTTAGGGAAAGAAAAATATTACTTTTCCCCTCATAAATACAGCACGTCATCTGCATGATTCCTGAATTTCCATTGTGACAGTTTTAAATGTTTTCTTTTCTTTTTTTTCGGATTGAAATTAATACGATTTGTGCCGTTGTTCAGCAACGGGAATTGAGCACCATTTCATCTGAATTCGACATCTGCTTTTGTTATTGTTGTTATTCTTGTTCAATAGTAAAAATCTGCTTGACATCTAAGATTAAATATTTAATCATTGGATAGTAAAATAAAGTATGTATCGATTTATCATTTGAATTATAATGAGTATTCATGTTTTCCATCATGTTGCCATGAAGGAAAACTGGCGGACATGTCAAATCTATTTTAAATGATTTTTAATGTTAGTGTCACCACATAACCTGGCACAACGGACTTTAACATTATGGGAAAATTTCTATGAACTTTTTTTTAATTACCACTGTTCTGAAACTAATTCACAAGTGTTGTATCAACAGTTAGTTATTAAATATATATTTTTGCTTGTGGGACGACTTTTACTTCGAAGAACATCATGGTTAAATACCATCATTTTGGGTGCCACGAATCGAAACAAAGACATGGGTGAGATTTGAGGTGGTGTATTACCTCATTACTATTGTATTACCCATACTACTTATTTACCTGTTTACCTGACAAAACCTATCTATATTGTATCTACCAAAGTCAGCCAGTATTTGGCAGTGTAATAAATTGAAATTGAATTGAGTGTATGTTTCACAGACTTTGTATTGAAAGGACTGTCTTTTGGTTGCACAAATTAACAGAACCAACAATTTTTGCGAAGACACCAATTCGATAATTCTTGTCATTTAAATAAAAATCACAAAAAAAAACCACAAGTGGAACATACTCTACTTAATCACAAAAAAACGTACACTACTCGCAATCTTACGCATAGATAGAAGAACCATTATGTGGAGATTGGATAAACTTTTAAAGTAACAAATTTCCTGTCCTTGAAGACACATCTGAAGAGAAATTTACCACGAAAAAAAAACCAGGAGAACAAAAACATGAATAAATGAATGTCCGAGCATGAAAACGCAATTTCTATTCACAACACATATAAGTGAAACAAAAA